GGAGATAGTGAGGCCCAAGAGAAGAGGCAGGTGTGTGAGGCTAGGCAATCAATAGGACTTAATGCTCAGATGGGGCAGGAGCGGAGGTCTGGGGAGGATGCAGGTGAGGCCAGGAGCAGGGGCTTTGGGGCCAGGGACAGACTGGGGAGTTAGCCCAGCACTGGGACTCTTACGCAAGGGATAGTCCACGGGGCTCTGTCTGGAGCACGACAGAGAAAGACGTAATGGGATGGAAGGTGGGGAGGGGGTGGACGGTGGATGCAGGGAGCAGGATGTTATGGGGTGGTGGGAAGCCTGCACAGAAACTGCCCTCCTCCTAGGCCTGGGCTACGCCTCCATGGTGATCGTCTTCTATTGCAACACCTACTACATCATGGTGCTGGCCTGGGGCTTCTACTACCTGGTGAAGTCCTTCACCACCACGCTGCCCTGGGCCACGTGCGGCCATACCTGGAACACTCCCGACTGTGTGGAGATCTTCCACCACGAAGACTGTGCCAATGCCAGCCTGGCCAACCTCACATGTGACCAGCTTGCTGACCGCCGGTCCCCTGTCATCGAGTTCTGGGAGTAAGTCAGGTGCCTCTGGACCAGGCCCAGCCCGGGCCTCTCTCTGGGCTCCGCACGCCGAGTCTGCGTGGGTTGGGTGGGACCCAGTCCCGGGGGGATTCCCGGCAGGAGTCACTCCTGGGCCCTGCCTGCCCCCGGGGGACCCCCAGGCCAGTCCCTGGGGGAGCCGGGAGGGATGGGCCTGGTTTTTTCAGCACCGTTTCTCACTCCGGGTGCTGTCACTCCGCGGTGCCTGACCAGGGGAAGGGGAACGACCGCCCTGTGTGCTAGGGTAGCCACGAGCCCCCCCACCGCTGTCCAGGGGCTCCCGGGCTCCAGGCACACACACTGCGTGGCCTCCAGGTGACAGGCTTGGGCCCGGGCCTCGCCCGGGTGCTCAGGAGGGACCAGCTGGACACCGGGGCTGCAGGAGCGGGAGCACCAGCCCTGGGACAGCTCCCAGTGGCTCTGCCCTCTGCTCACACGCCCTCGTGGGCCCTCCCTCCCCAGGAACAAAGTCTTGCGGATCTCCAGGGGACTGGAGGTGCCAGGTGCCCTCAACTGGGAGGTGACCTTGTGTCTGCTGGCCTGCTGGGTGCTGGTCTACTTCTGTGTCTGGAAGGGGGTCAAGTCAACAGGAAAGGTACAGCTGGAGGCGGGCAGGGCTGGGGGTGATGGCAGGGCTGGGGGGCAGCACTGCCTAGGGGGGGGGTCCTCTGCCAGGAACCACTGTTGCAACAGGTGACGGGGCCAGGGCCTAGGCCTGAGGAGGGGGCAGGTACTTCAAGCCAGGCCACGTGATCCCCACCCCATGGCTGGGTAGTCCTCCCTACCCTCCAAATCCAGGTCTAGCAGCCTTCTCCCTTGAGGGGGAGAAGCCCAGGCAGCAGCTGCCCTTCCCCTGTGTTGGGCATCCCCGGCCCCTCCCTCCTTCCTCGTTCCTCTCCATTCCTCACTCAACACCTGAGTCTGTTTGGACAGTCTGGGTGGACCTGCTGTATGGCTCTCTTGCCTGCCTGTCTGGCCCAGGGTCGAGTCTAGACACATGCCTTCCCCAGAAGCTCGCTGTCAGGTTCGGGAGACAAATGTGTGAACAGGCGCATAATAAGACAGTGTGCCGAGGGCTGTGGGACATGGCCAGGTCCCTGGAGGGCTGGCTCGTTCCCCAGCAGGGTCTGAAGAGCAGCCGCTTCCCGAGCTGGCGGTCCCACTTGGATGGAAGGCAGAGGCTTTTGCCGTCCGTCTCACTCTTGCCCGTCTCTGGCTGGCCCACTTCTAATCCCAGCTCCCGAGGACCCCGCCTCTCTGCAGAGGATGACCTGGACCTGCCTCCAGGCTGCTGTCCCACTCTCTGCCCGGGGAGGGCCCTGCCTCTCCCCTCCCTCTGCAGCCGACCTGCGCTTGCCATGGGGCTGCTAACGCCCAGCCAAGCACCTGGCTTCCTTTGGAAGGAGCCATGGCTCTGGGGAGTCTAAGGGGGGGCTGCTGGCTGGCTCGTTCCTTACCTCTGAACACACTGTCCAGTGGTGGGGGACCGTGGCCTGCCCTGCTCAGGCTGCTCAGGCCGGGGGCCTCTAAGGGGGAGGTGGGTGCTGCCGGGCCCCTCTGAACAGCATGGCCCCCCAGATCGTGTACTTCACCGCTACGTTCCCCTACGTGGTCCTCGTGGTGCTGCTGGTACGTGGAGTGCTGTTGCCTGGCGCCTTGGATGGCATCATCTACTATCTCAAGCCTGACTGGTCGAAGCTGGGGTCCCCTCAGGTGAGGCAGAGGTAGTGGGAGGGAGACCAGGGGGCCAGCCCAACAGGGCCCCTCACACCTACTCTACCCTGGCCCGTGTCTAGGTATGGATAGATGCTGGGACCCAGATTTTCTTCTCTTATGCCATTGGCCTAGGGGCCCTCACAGCCCTCGGCAGCTACAATCGTTTCAACAACAACTGCTACAAGTAAGGACCTCTGCCCCGCTCCCCTGCCCTGCCTGCCCATGGGCAGCAAGCAGGCAGCCTAACCAGCTCCTGTGGTCCCCTGTGTCCCCAGGGACGCCATCATCCTTGCACTCATCAACAGCGGGACCAGCTTCTTCGCTGGCTTCGTGGTCTTCTCCATCCTGGGCTTCATGGCTGCAGAGCAGGGCGTGCACATCTCCAAGGTGGCAGAGTCAGGTAAAGAGCCTGGGCCCCAGCCTGGCCTCTGGAACAGAGGCTGCTGTCCTAACATACCTACCGTGTGCATGAACGCACATACAAATCTACATTCTGAGAAAATTAAAAAATCAACTCAACGTTGTCACATTGCTCTAGGCCAGAGGCAGGCCTGGATGAGCAATTGCAAGGCACAGCTGTTCCAGCCAGCTTAGTGGGCCTGGCCACCTGGAGCTTTGAGCTCCAGGCCATCCATCCCCGGGGGCCTCTGGGTATGCTCTCATATTTGCCAATGTTGCAGAGGGGAAGGAAGGCCTTTCCAAGGTCAAAGGTAACCAGAAGCCCAAACCAGATACCCTCCTCCTATAGGCGGTCTGCCAAGGGCCCGCAGGAGCCTTCCAGCCCCTGGGTGGCACACCCACAGCAGGCTCAAGCCGTTCAGCAGTGCCTTGCCATGAAGGGAAAGGCCTTTGGCCAGGGGCCCTGGTGTTTGCAGTCCTGGTACCATGAAGCAGGGGTGGGGGACAGGAAGTGGGCATAGCCACAGGTATTCACATCCTGCCTCTTTCCCTCTTAGGGCCTGGCCTGGCCTTCATCGCTTACCCCCGGGCCGTCACGCTGATGCCCGTGGCCCCGCTCTGGGCTGCCCTGTTCTTCTTCATGCTGCTGCTGCTGGGCCTTGACAGCCAGGTTTGCAGGGGGGACAGGATAGAGGGGGTGGGAGGGGAGGGGCTGGCAGGTGGGCAAGGGCCATGGCCTGAGCACCTGGCCACAGTTTGTAGGTGTAGAAGGCTTCATCACAGGCCTGCTGGACCTCCTCCCGCCCTCCTACTACTTCCGTTTCCAAAGGGAGATCTCTGTGGCCCTCTGCTGCGCTCTCTGCTTTGTCATCGACCTCTCCATGGTGACTGATGTGAGTGGGGCAGGGTAAGGGCTGCCTCTGGCCCCTGGCTGCCATCTGCCACCTGCCCTGACCTGGCTCTATCCCTAGGGCGGGATGTACGTCTTCCAGCTGTTTGACTACTACTCGGCCAGTGGCATGACCCTGCTCTGGCAGGCCTTCTGGGAGTGCGTGGTGGTCGCCTGGGTATACGGTAGGTCTGGGCTGAGGGGCAAGAGGGGCTGTGGCATGGAGCAGGCGTGGTGGGTCTACAGTTCTAGCCGTCCCTTCACCCCACCCCAGGAGCTGACCGCTTCATGGATGACGTGGCCTGCATGATTGGGTACCGGCCTTGCCCCTGGATGAAATGGTGCTGGTCCTTCTTCACCCCACTGGTCTGCATGGTAAGGGCCAGGAAGGCTGGACTGGATGGGACAGGGCACCTCGGGCCACTGGCTAATTGCAGATTCTCTCCACAGGGCATCTTTATCTTCAATGCTGTGTACTTCAAGCCACTGGTCTACAACAACACCTACGTGTACCCATGGTGGGGCGAGGCCATGGGTTGGGGCCTGGCGCTCTCCTCCATGCTGTGTGTGCCCCTCCACGTGCTGGGCCGCCTCCTCACGGCCAAGGGGACCATGGCTGAGGTCAGTTCTTCAACAATGCCCCTCCCTTCTGTTTTAGTCAAAGCCTTACCTCCAGATTGTCTGTACCCCCGACCCCCAGGATGGGTCACTGTACCAGAAGCCTCTGGGCCAGCTGGACAAAAGGGACACTGGCTATCAGGGTCGTGGCAAGGGGAGGCAGCCTGTCCCTAGCTTCCGTTCTCAGCCACATAACCCTGTCTCCCTGGTGCAGGGAGTAGTGCCTGGTCGGTGTCTCGGGAGGAGCAGCCGTGGGCCGAGTTGGTGGCAGGTGGTGGTGGTGGAAAGAGGCCAAGGACAAGCAGGTGCCCCTCCCCAGGGGCTCACGATGTCCCTTTCTCCTGCAGCGCTGGCAGCACCTGACGCAGCCTGTCTGGGGCCTCCACCACTTGGAGTACAGAGCTCAGGACTTGGAGGTCAGGGGCCTGACCACCCTGACCCCAGTGGCTGAGAGCAGCAAGGTGGTGGTGGTAGAGAGCGTCATGTGACAGGGCCGGCTCCCAGTGCCAGCTCTCCCTCTTGTAGCCATAGCAGCCCCTGCTTTAGCGCCTCCAACCCCTCCAGGGGGCTTGCCTTTCCCTGACACTTCTGGGGTCTGCCTGGGGGGGAGGGGAGGAAGCACCATGAGTGCTTGTAACTAAAATAACTTTTTCCATTTTTAATAAAATGCCAAAAATACCACAACCCACCAAAAATAGATGCCTCCCCCCACCAACCAAGCTGGTGCCCACGCTGCTTCCCAGGCCCTGCTGCCTGCCCTCCCCCTAGTGCCTGCTGCCTGTCCAGGCTCTGCCCAACACACCCGTGGGTGGCTCCTCACTCCAGAGGCAGCAGTGGCAGCTTAGGGAACAGAACGGGAAAGGGGAGGGAGGAGAGAGAGGGACAGCGGAACCACAGTGAGTATTTCAACTGGGCTAGACCCCTCTCCCATCCCTAATCTAGAAGCTTAGAGAGCCAGCCAGCAATGGGACCTTCTGGTTCCTGCGCCAATTGCCACCAATATCAATTGTGTGAGCTTGTGTATGAGTGCATGTGTGCGTGAGTATGTAGGGCACATATAGATCTCTATCTCTTAGCAAAGGGGAAAACCAGGTGTACACTGTGCCTGTGGGCAAATGAGGCTTGTATTTTGCACATTTTATAAAAACTTGAGGAGAGAGATTTCTGCTTGTATATTTCTAAAGAGAAAACAGCCCCGAGGTCCCTCTCCTTGCCACTCCCTGTCCTTTCAGCCCCTCCTTAATTCCTCTGCCCCAGCCAAGGAGTGTGAATTTATAGATCTAATTTTCATAGGCAAAACAAGAGCTTCAAGCTGTGCGAGTCTGTCGTGTGGGTATGCATGTGCGGTCCCCGGCCCCAGGCTGAGGTGGAAAAGTGCACAGTAGGGGCCTCGAGGGTGTCCCGCTACCCCTCTGCCCACAAGTCGTGGGGGTGAGTAGGTGTGGTGTTCTGTCCCAGGAATCTGGGGCTGCTCACCTGGCATGCTCAAGCTTACCCACCACACCCTGCCCCCAGGGCTGGGCTGGGCAGACTGCAGGGATCTGAGGTGGGCACCAGCCAGGGAAGGGATCCAGGCTTGGCTCCCGCCTGCGAGCTTAAAGCTGATGCACTTTTCACGTCTCAAGTCTTCCACGTAGCAGCTTTACTTAACCCACGTCTGTGTCATATCTAATCCCGGGACAGCCGAGTGGACCCTAGAAAGACTTCCCCCACACCCTGACATCAGCTGGAGGGGAGGGACTAGGCGAGGGCGGGGGGCCAGCGGGGACATTCTTACTGTGCTAAAAGCCACTGCAAACATAGCAATAAAAACATGTCATTTTCCAAAGCTGGCTCCTGTTCTGCTTGTCTGGGCGTTGGGGGTGGGACTGGAGGTACAGGGGAGGCCTCCCCACCTCGAGCTGTTTCCTTGGGCAAGTATTTGTTCTGGGGGTCTCCATACCCGACAGTGTTCCAGGAACTGGGACTAGAGCAGGAAAGGAAGCTGACAGAAAGTCTTTCCCCCAAGGAGCTGACACACTTGGGGAGAAAGGATAATAGTATGCGACAGACGCACACACCAAGCAGGGCAAGTGGGTGTGAGGTCACGGGCAGTGGGTGGGAAGTCACGGGTGTAGATTTTCCAAAGGTTGCCCAAATGCCACACTGAACACATGACTCTCCAAGATGCAGGCGGCAAGGGGCAGGCAAGGTGGAGAGGTGAAGTTACAGCAGAGCCGGGGGAAGGTGGAGATCACTGGACCAGGACACCAGCAGTGGAGGGAAGAAGTGTGGATCAGAGATCAGTTTGAAAGGCGGGAAACAGGGCTTGTGGACCACCAGGATGCAGGGTTGAGAGGAGTCAAGAAGGCCTCAAGAAATTGAGCGTGAGCACCGTGAAGGGTGGCATTGCCAGGCCCTGTGCCAGGGAGATGAGGTTTGAAAGGGATGGTGGTGTCATCTGACTAGAGACCTCTATGACGGCGGTTGGACAAGAAGCCTGGAGCTCTGGAAAGTCTGAACTGAAGAGAGAACTTAGGAAGTTCTCAGCACATAAAGACAGCCCGGAAAGCCCTGAGCCTGGATGAGCTCAACCAGGGCGGCCAGGAGTGGGTGCAGAGGGAGAGGCGGCCCGAGCACTGAGCCCTGGGGCCCTGGGACACCCAGAGGTGGCAGAGGAGGGGCTGGTCAGTGGGTGGGATGGACCCCAAGAGTACAGACCTGATCCTGGAACATGTCTGAGGAACCCCCCCCCCCCCATTGGGGTCAGGAAAGAGAGTGCTCGGCTGTCAGATGCTGCTAATGGTCAAGGGAGCGAGGGCATGCCCGACCGGCATGGCTCAGGTGGTTGAGCATTGCCTATGAATCAGGCGGTCAGGGTTTGATCCCCACTGTGGAGTATACAGGAGGCAGCTGATCAATGATTCTCTCTCATCATTGATGTTTCTATCTCTCCCTCTCCCTTCCTCTCTGAAATCAGTAAAAATATATTTTTTTAAAAAGGGAGCGAGGGCCTGAGAAAGTTGGCTGCGTTTGATGACAAGCTCATGGAGACCTGGACAAGAGAAGTTTGGGTTGGGGGTGTGCAAAAGCCTGATTGAAGTGGGATTAAGAAAGAAGGGCTGGAGCCTTAGCCGGTTTGGCTCAGTGGACAGAGTGTCGGCCCACAGACAGAAGGATCCTGGGTTCCATTCCGGTCAAGGGCATATACCCAAGTTACCAGCTCGATTGCAGCCCTGGTCATGTGGCTCTCTCACGCTGATGTTTCTGTCTCTCCCCCTCCCTTCCACTCTCTTTAAAAATCAGTGGAATGTTTCTATCTCTCCCTCTCCCTTCCTCTCTGAAATCAGTAAAAATATATTTTTTTAAAAAGGGAGCGAGGGCCTGAGAAAGTTGGCTGCGTTTGATGACAAGCTCATGGAGACCTGGACAAGAGAAGTTTGGGTTGGGGGTGTGCAAAAGCCTGATTGAAGTGGGATTAAGAAAGAAGGGCTGGAGCCTTAGCCGGTTTGGCTCAGTGGACAGAGTGTCGGCCCACAGACAGAAGGATCCTGGGTTCCATTCCGGTCAAGGGCATATACCCAAGTTACCAGCTCGATTGCAGCCCTGGTCATGTGGCTCTCTCACGCTGATGTTTCTGTCTCTCCCCCTCCCTTCCACTCTCTTTAAAAATCAGTGGAAAAATATCCTCGGATGAGGATTAACAAAAAAAAGAAAGAAGGGCTGGAAACAACCCAAGTGTCCATTAACAGAAGAATACATGAACAAAATGTGGTCTATTCATACGGTGGAATATTATTCAGCCTATAAAAGGAAAATCTGACACACACTACAACATGGATGAACTTGAGGACATTATGCTAAATGGAAGGAGTCAGACACAAAAAAGGCAAACACTGTATGATTCCATGCTAGGCGGCCGCCAGAGGAGTTAGATTCAGAGAGACAGAGAGTGGGCTGCTTGGTGCCAGCGGCTGGAGGAGGAGGATGGGGGTGAGTGCTTAATGGAGCAGTTTCAGTTTTGCAAGATGAAAAGTTCTGGGAATGGATGGCAGTGACACACAATGACATCCTTGACGCCAATGAAGTGTAATCTTAATGATTAAAATTGAAGTTTTAGGTTACATATATTTTAGCACAACTTAAAAGAAGGGTGGGAAAGAACTGGAGACAATGGCTCCATTCAGGTCCTTGTGGGCAGGACCTCAAGCACGAGAGGCTTCAGCCTTAGGTGAGAGCCGGGCGCTCTATCCAGTGCCACAGGAGGGAGGGCAGGATAAGGCATGGGCGCTGGGGGTGGGGGGCAGGCGATGTCAGGACCAGCCCAGTCATCAACTGAGGCAGGCCTGGGGTGAAAGTCAAGGTTTAGGAGCCTGGTGCTCACTCTGGATGTTAGCCTGGCCCCTCAGAGAAAAGAGACAGTTTGTTCCTCTCTGGGCTCTTTATATAGCAAGGCATTGTCCCCTTAGTAAGGAGGGCCTTTAGCCCCAACTGTACAGCCAGGGAGGGCTCTGGCCTGTGATGCTACCGTCAGCCATGCTCTGACGGTCACCAAGATCCTGGACAGGGGGCAGGTCCTCAGAGCTTGGGAAGGCCTTTCTACAGCCTGTGCTGGCGCAGAGGAGACGCCTCCCCAACAGGCCAGCTCCTGTAGAACGCCTGACAACCTGCTCTTCAGACTCAACCCCTGCCCCACCCTTCTCTTAAAGCTTCTCACGATGCAACCCCTCAGCTCTCATCATGCCCGCAACTTCCAGAACCCTGTGTGCTGGCACCTCCAACATGTCCAGCCTGGCTCCTGGGGTGATGAGGCGCCTCACACCAGGCCCTGGCCCCTGGCAATTCCTCCCCACCAGCTGGACAGAGCCTGGTATCATCGCCCTCAGGCCCACTCCATTCCCACTCCACCCCAGCCTCACACCAACTCCTTACCCTCTCCACTCCCTAACAGGGATGCCATGCCTTGGCTCAGATCTTTGTCACCTCTTGCCAAATGGCCTCCAAGCCACCTGCCACACCACCACCAAAGACTCAGAAAACACTGACATCACCAAAAGAGAACCTGACAGAGGGTGGGCTGCCTGGCTGGGGCCAGGAGAGCTGTGGGCAGGCACCATTTACTCAGGAAGCTGCCCTCTGAGGTAGGAACTTGCGACACAGGGACAGGAAATCTAAGCGAAAGACAAGGAGGAAGTGGATCAGCCAGGGGGCCAGCCAGGTGGGGATGCTGGGGACAATTCTGCTAAGAGGAAGGCTGCTGGAGGAAAATAACTCAGGAGCAGCCAGAGGGGCTGGATACCGCAGCTGGAGACTAGGTGGGTGCCTCGCCTTCCACCTCTAAGAGTCTGTGACCCCCAGCTACACAGACTCCTCTGCTTTGCCCAGCCCAGGGCCTGATGCCAAGGGGGCTCAGAGGCCGCTCGGGGCTGGCCAGGAAAGAACCCAAAGCCACACTGGTTGGACTCTGGCCTCTACAAGTTTGAAGGGTGAGTTCAGAAGACCATGGTCGTCAGGGAACACTTCCTGGAAAAGCAGGACAAGCCTTTGGCCTTGGCATAGCAACCAGAGGGTGTCACCTGGGGGCCCCTCCCAGCAGGCACCACCCAGGGAGAAGTGGGAAGAGACAGACACTGGAAAAGGGAGCCACCAGCCCAGGCCTGGCCGGGGCAGGAGGGGAGCACAAGGCTGGTTATCAGTATCACCATCTTCAGGGAACGCCCCCAATTCCAAAAGAATACACCCACCCCACTTGCTCCCCAGGTCCCTTGCCCAGTCCTGCCCTCGCCCTCAGGCTGACCCTAAATACTAGGCCCTGCTCCATGGAGGCTACCTACAGAAGCCAGCCTAGGGGGGTGCTGAGGGGCAGCAGGCTGGAGGAGAAAGCTCTCCAAGCAGACTGGCACACCTGCCATGTTCTCGGAGCTGCACCCGACCAATCCAGAGCCCCTCCCCTCCACCTAGCTCTGCCCTGGGCCAGTCATAGGTCACTGCCAAGGGCGAGACTCCTCTCCCAGCCGGCATTACTCAGAGGTCATCTTGCAAACCTTGGGAGGGCGGGGAGGGCAGGGAGTGACTAGTGGCACTCTGCCACGTTCTGTCTGTCCTAAATGTGATGAACAGGACTCAGAGGCAGGCGAGTCTGCCACCGGGAGGACCCACCAGTTTACCGAGTCTAGCTCCCCTGGGCCCAGTGGCCAACCCCCAGGGAGACCAATAGGACAGACACATCCCAAGTGGCCATAAAGTGGAGCCTGGCCTGGGGAGCAGAGAGCAAGCATGAGCCTGGACCTAGCCTGGGGTGGGGAGCCTTTAAGGATTAGAGCTTTTAAGTTGAAAGAAAAGTACCTGGAAGGGCAAAGACTGGGGGTCTCTGTCTGAGCTATCACTCCAGGGTAGGGGAGAAAGAGGCCTCCTCGCAGCCTGTTACACAGATACACAACGGACACTTCATAACAACCTTTATTGCCAAAAGAAACTACTCTGCCTGCTCCATCTGCCTGGCAGGACCAGAGAAAAGGGGCCTTGGAACCCCGAACATGAACGAGCAACACAAAAAGGGGCTCAACCCAGCAGGAAGCAAACCCCACTGCAAGGGTTCCAGGTGCCCGCCTTTTCATCTTGAGCAGGTGAAAATCCAGGCCCCAGTGGAGTGCTGGGAGAACAAGAAACTGTAAGCAGTGTGAGGGGCAGGAAGTGCAAATACCGAAGAAGGCCTGGCCCTCAGGAAGCAGCAAACATGGGCCAGGCCACGGCCACAGGTGGACAGGAGGTGCCCTCACTCCTCCTTCTTGTCCGTGGGACCATCTATCTTCATCTAAAAAGGGACAAAAATAAAAAAGCACTGGAGTG